CATCCACTGCATCCTTCAGGATACGTTTACGCATGAAATTTGCACGAATTTTCCAGACGCGGATCATTTGTATGGAAGAAAATGCGAATCGCTCTAATTTCGCCTGCGGAAAACACCGGAAAATAGGGAAAATCGGTACGAGTGTTGGAGGTTTCCACGCACGTACAGACCTTCAAAGTATAAAATCAATGCAACCTTTCTGTTCGCGAAAACAAAACGAAAGAAAAGAGAGAAACTTTGATAATATTTTATTGTGCTATTCAGAAATGTATTCAATATTATTATGGAAAACAGGTAGATTAGAAAAGCGTATAATGCGAAATATACAGGGTATATAAAAATTTAAATCGTACGGTATTTCGATCAAGTTATATTGATAAAAATAAAGAAAAATAGTCAGACCTCCAACTTTTCCATTACTGCTTTGTTTTTGCGGAGAGAGTCCGGGCTTTAACAAGAAAATTCAACCAATTATGCTAACTTTTTCGTATTTTATTACCGCGAGATTAGGAAATCCTCTGATTCCCAAACAAAATGGAAGTTTGAGTTTCGAGTTCGGGAAAGCTTATTCGTTTTCAAAGGGAATATAACATCTTTTCTTACTTAAGAAAACTTTAAGTTTTTCGAACAATTAATTTCCTTAACTTTGCGTACTCGACGTGTTTTGGTTTTCGGGCTTCGTTGGCTACTTGCCCGCTTATACGAGGCCTTTTTTTCTCCCCTTTTCCGTTCCCTAATTTTATAAGCTTCACGAAATTTCCTTTCCGACAAAACGAAATTACTTACTTACTTATCTGCCTATATTACCAATCTTAAAACTCTGCTTCTTTTAATTAATCACATTACAACTTACATTATACCAAATTATCAATAATAAAAATGTTATACTTAAATGTAATAAATTTTTTAGCGGAGTAATAACTAACTCAATATTTCTCAAAAACATTGCTGGTATGATATAATGAAATGCACAGCGATATACACGAATGTAATAAAAAGCATCTAATAATCAACTGCAGAAATAAAGAAAAATAACCTGTCGCATCCAGTCGCATATATTCCTGCGAGCTG